GTTGTAGGAAGGTCCTACGTTTCTACGTTGTAGGAAGGTCCTACAAAAGGAACATGTAAGCATGTCTGTCTGAGTGTGTAGTAAAATAATATCCTTAACAGTGCACACAATTTCAACTTAAGCAATAAGCCTTAACAGCTTTTGTGCTACTGTATTACCACCATTAAAGGGTATTATTAGGCAAAACCATCATTACCTGGTCACAGGAAGTGTCAGAAATTTAGTTTACCTTTATGAAGGCTTTTTGTCTAATCATAACACACACAGCATGTTGGACATTAAATCTCAATTTAGATAATTATAGCTGCACTGTAAGTGTAACAACAGAAAACCGTCTGCTGAAATACACTGCAATAATGTTTTGGTCCTTATGTAAGTTTATGCAGCTCTGTAACTTTAAAGTAGATGTTGATGTACTTGAACGGATTTTCATTTTCTCCATCAAAATCCACTTTTTATTTACTCCACATTTAACACTTGTCTCTGAGACAGTGAATATAGAACAAATCTGACAACTATAGTGGACTGAGGATGCTCTACCAAACTCACGAGATACCATTAACAGAAAATGATTGAATATATTTTAAAAAATGCAACATTCAGAGACATTTTAAACATACATTGACACAGACTAGAGCCTAAAGCGAAAAAGAAACAAGCCAATATTTCTTTTGACACGAAAGGGGAGGATAGTGGCGTGTCCAGCCGCAGCACAGATCACTGTATTAGCGTGAGTGACTTGTGGATAATGGTGACTAAATTATTACCAAGGCAAGTTTATTAGATTTTGATTGCATATGCTCACGTGTGTATTCAGTAAATTGAGGAGCCGTGATCAATACTCTCCTTCCAGTTAAATCACTGCAGACCAATTTGAAATGAGAGCGCTCTGCTGTTTTGCTGTTATAGAGTAGAATTTTCATTGGCTGCAGCAGCACAGCAATAACCAAAATGTATTTGAATGTTTTCTCACAACGTGATTATCACTTCAAGACCATGTAGAATATCATATGTCACAGATTATATATTTCGGAGTAAGGAGAGCTCACCTTATAGTCATATGTGGCATCAGGATTCTCATCACACGCGATGACTTCTGGTGCCATCCAATAAGGAGTGCCGATGAAAGTGTTCCTGCGGCTCACGGTGCGATCTAGCTGTGCACTCACACCAAAGTCCACTGGGTTTCAGATGAAATAGATGGAGAGGAAAACAGTCTGATTAGTTTTAAGCAAATGCTGAGAGCTACAGAGGTACGACAGGTAGTACTAACTGCAAGAACTATAGATATATAGCGCCATATTTAATATTTAACAGGAATTTTAACAAACAAGGCTGTGAGGGATAGACGTACAGTGCATTCAATGGACTGTACTGTTATTTAAAAACAAACTGATTGTTCAGCTAACAAAAGTTCTCAAAAAAAAAAAAAATCAGTAGTTGTGAAAATTACGAGATCTAAGGCCTAAAATGTGTGCCATTGTAAACACTATAATCTATACCTCACAGTCTCGTTTTCATCTGTGTTAAATTCAACATGGCGTCTAGCCCGATTAAGGTCTTTAGGCCATGATGCAATTACTTCTCTACCACTGTGAGCAAACGAGACAGCACCTAAAGTACAACTGAGGCCCTTGTTTCAAAGTTATTAAACAATTATTTTAGTGTAATGTCATGTACTAACCAGATGTGATGCAATAAAGTGATAAAAGCCATCTTTAAGATTTTGTTTTGACAAGTGAAAGATATCATGGTGTGGTCACATATACTGTTGCTGTGTGAAAATTTGCAAACAAAATACAGACTTCCTGTTTGTTGCTGCCGTGTGTTGAGTCTGAGCTCCGTCAAGTTAATTCTTTATTGTCTATTTTTTTATCCTAATATAAATTTTATACACCATTTTCATTTCTATAACGTGTGAATATATCCCCTGTCGTATTCTACAACAAAAACGATCAGAGCGCCTTATCACTAGTTTTATTTTGATTTCTCGAGTCCGCTATTAGCTTATAGCCCGTTAGCATTGCCAGCGTGGTTGCCGCTAATCTCGCTTACATTGCTAATACTCTATTCACACACATTACCATTGTTTTACTCACTGTTACTTGCTTTAATGGCGGATGTGTGTCTACCTTTGAGTGCAGGTGAGGACACGTGGAGGCCGTGGAGAAGCAGATCCGCGACCTGGTGAAGAGGCAGGCCCAGCTGAGGGAGCGGAGAGC